GCCGGAGCGGTGCATTTACACACAAAGAGCAACAGCAGCACTTACATTGACATCAGTGTGGTGGATGAGCACGCACAGTGCAGGAAGAATCTGTACAAAGAAACACACAAGATCATCACCAGGAACAAACAGAGCCGCTTACACCTGCTATTAGCAGGAATTTCTAGCAACCGATGAGAGGAGAGTCAGCAGCAAATCACTGCATGAGGAATACTGCAGACAGTCTGCAACACGGAGCAGGGCTGCGCAATTACAACTGATCAAAAAAATAATAAAAGATGCCGTAATTAATCTTGAAGTTTTGCAGCACTGAGTACTAAAAGTAACCGCAAACATGTATATTAAATGCACGAGTGCAATGACCAACCAGAGTTACTTATATTAGTCCAAAAGCCTGATTGATATTGAACTGAGTAGTACTCTTGTATTACGCCCATGTGTTCTTCATAAATACATGTTTATAAAAAAATAAAAAACAAATAACTGGGCAGTGTAGACCAGGGATGGAAATTAAAGTAGGATGGCAACAAAATACCACCAAAACAGGATGACTATCAGGACGAATATCAGAACTAGGGATGTCAATTTTCGATTATTTCCATGATTGATCGTCATTTAAATTAAGGGTCAATTAATCCTTAACCTAAATACTGCAAAATGCGTCTATTGCAGTGGCATATATTCACCAGCATGTGCAAATGTCACAAAACGCAGGCTTCCTCACCCGAATTAAAGGGGGTTTTAGTCTAAATAAAGGCTAGTAGCAGGACTGTAAAACGAATGGATGTGATTACGATCATTCGATAAAATGAAGAGCGCGCCGTAGTTACGTTTGGGATCATTTTACTTTGTTGGCTGCTTCAGGAGACTGCTGAACGCGCCTCTTTAAATGGTTGATATTGTGCTCGTTGTTGTATTTTAAAACACCATTGCAACGTTTGCAAGTGACATTATTGGCATTTAAAATAAAATGATGCCGAATGTAACTGCGGCGCGTGTTTCTGGTCAGAGAACCGCTTCCACCGGCGGTGCTGCGGCAAAACACTGCTGCTCGCATGAAACATTTTAATGCGAGTATGACACAAGTGAGGTACAAAGCTTAGTTTATAAGAGAAACAGGCCTAGTGGGTTAGCAGGCAAATGTTACAGCGCTCTTGCATTCATGCTAGGCTTGCTGCGATAGACAGTGTTTTCGGTTATACCAGTGTTAAGCCGCAACACCGGTTACGTCATTTGCCTACCGCAGCACCGCCTCCTGCCGTCGTTTAGATGTTTTTATAGTAGCAAAAATCATTTAGCCTAGTTCAGTTAGAGGACAGACAGTTTAAAACAACTAAACTCTCAATGCAGCGTGCCGAACCGTGCGCGAACGATGGAGCAGGAGTCAGATTTAATTTATCCGTGAGGAGAGTGAGTCGAGCTGACTCGCTCTTGCATTCATGCTAGGCTTGCTGCGATAGACAGTGTTTTCGGTTATACCAGTGTTAAGCCGCAACACCGGTTACGTCATTTGCCTACCGCAGCACCGCCTCCTGCCGTCGTTTAGATGTTTTTATAGTAGCAAAAATCATTTAGCCTAGTTCAGTTAGAGGACAGACAGTTTAAAACAACTAAACTCAATGCAGCGTGCCGAACCGTGCGCGAACGATGGAGCAGGAGTCAGATTTAATTTATCCGTGAGGAGAGTGAGTCGAGCTGACTGACACGAGTGAGGTGCGAAAGACAAGACGATGGCAGAAGATTGTTTAGAAAGGAAATGCAAAGGCGCCTGTTTGGCAATATTTTAGATTTTGAAAAGCCTGCTGACTGGAAGTTTATTTTAACATTCGTTTCTTATTTATTTGGTTCCACAGTGTTCGCTGATTACTTTATTTAAACTTTGTGTATTTTACATCAAGGTGTATATGCCGTGCCTCCAAGCTTTCTTATTCTTTTTGCTAATAAACATTCTGTTTTCTTATTTATTTGGTTCCACAGTTTGCTGATTTTCAGTTTTATATACACCTATTTAAACTGTGTAGCCCAAGTAATTTGTTATTTTATTAGGCATATATGGTGTATTTTTATTTGTTTTGTTAATAAAAGTTCTATGAGTTTGACGCTGTTGTTGCTTGAATTGAATCAACGCCGAATTGCCGCTAATTTGAAAGTGAAAGTAAAATGCGCACGGCACTTTTACAAGCCATTTGAAAGCAAAGAGAAGAGGGGAAACTCAAACGAACTCGTTTATATTTAAAAGCATTTCATACATCTATAATCAATTACTTAAACACTAATCTCATAACATTTTGGATTTGTAATTGCGGTGCAAATGTGCTCATGCTACATCTGAACTCTTGATTTCATTTAATTGGTAACAGCACTACTTTCTTACTATTCTAACTGAACGCATCACAAAAAAAAAAAAAATTACAATAGATGATCTAAAACCTTATTAATTGTATCAATGCCTACAATTAAAAAGGTTAGAAACAGATGCTATAAAAGGCAAACGGACTGCGAGTTGTTTTAGATGTGCAGCCCTAATTAGGAAAATATAGATGGAGAGAGACCACTTAAAACTAGCTAGCAGAACATACTTAATTAGTTAACTAAAAATAAGTTTAAAACATGTATTACTGCAGTGGTTGATTGTGCAGTTGGCCAAGCCGCACTAGCATTCACTACCAATTAATGCTGGGACAATAAATCGATGCATCGCGATTCATGGATCGATTCTGAGATTATCGGAATGCATCGTGATTCTCTCTGGAATCGATTCAGAGCTTAGTTTTTAACAGCAGATGGTGCTCCAGGCTAGTTTTTAACCGCACATTCAAGTACTCACGAAGAGCGCTTGTGCATTCGGCTGAGTAATGCAAGTGGTTAAATTGGGTTACACTTTACTTGAAGGGGTGTGCATAAGACTGACATGACACCTTCATAATCATGACATGACACATGTCATGAATATGAAGGTTTTTTTATGCATGTTTATGACAACTGTCATTAAGTGTCATTCGCTCAGTTATGTAATTTTTAATGCAAAGATGACATTGTTTGAGATGTCTTTGTTATGGGCTATGGTTAGGGGTAAGGGTAGGGGTAGGGTTAGGTCAAATAATGTCAAATTTGCATTAAATTACATAACTGAGCATATGACACTCAATGACAGTTGTCATAAACATGCATAAAACCTCCTTCATATTCATGACGTGTGTCATGTCATGATTATGAAGGTGTCATGTCAGTCTTACGCACACCCCTTCAAGTAAAGTGTTACCTTAAATTGCACATCAGGTTTTACGATGCGAGATTAATGTAAACACAGGCCACTGTGAACATCCTTGTAACCTTTTCGAACTTTATGAATGATTATTTTAGTTTCAAAAGGAGCGGCTGTTACAGCGGCAGAATGCGGCTGATTCTAAAGCACGCAGTGCCATCTGCTGTTAAAAACTAAGCTCAGAATCAATTCAAGAGAGAATCACGATGCCTTCGGAATACCTCAGAATCGATGCAGAATCACTTCTCGATTCGTGATGCATCGATTTATTATCCCAGCCCTACTACCAATGTATTTGAGCAACCAGATCACAAAGTTTTGAAGAGATTCCACCTGTCAGAGTATTGAGATGACACCCGGTCACATGTCTCCTGTCCAACACTCACTCTATGATCACAGATGCGTCACACTCATACCTCCTGGATGGTCTCCATGGGCGGGGGCGGGTCCTTGTGGCGGCACAGGTTGACCATGACCCAAGTGACGTTGCGGAGGAAGGTGATGGGTATGGAGGGGCTGATGAAGGACAGGAGCGGCTTAACCACTCCCAGACTGATGACGTAATCTCTGCACTGAGGGCCGTCACCTGTAACAGCACAGCGATCATTAATCTGACACAGCACTGCTATCCCATCAGCCTCTGACCACGAGACCGAACACAACCAGCGAAACATGAGCACCCATCAATCACTTCGTCGCTTTACATGGTGATCGCGCACTTGATAATCAGTGCACACCATGAGTGTGAACATGTGTTGAACCACACGACAATCAGGATGAGAAGCACAAGCGCTGAGATGAATGGTGTGGCAATGACCTACCATCAGAAACTCAAAACGCTACATGCTGGATCTTTGACAACGACCGGTTGACCCCATCAGCTCATGATAACGCTCCAGCACATAAAGTAACAATCTTGCAGAGTTAATCACTTACCGATGATGTTCCCTAAAGCCCAAACCGCCTGCTCACACACGTTCTGGTGCGGAGATTGCAACAGCCGCAGGAAGAGAGGAACCGCATCTACACCAACACGGAGATAAAGAATGACACGCAAGTAAACATACTGCACAGTTACACTCTCACTGATAATTAACTTGAATATTTCTGGTTTGGTCAACTGTAGTTATCATTTTCAGATTGTTATTTGGAATCCAGCCAACCTAAAAGCATAATCAGTGCTGCACATAAGTGGTGCGCATGCACAACCAAAACAACAACAACAACAAAACGCTTGGTAAGTAAGTTCAGACCGCTCATTTGCATGCAAGATGGTAGACAGCTGTTAATGCGCAATCACCGTTTTCGATACTGTATAAGATTTACATTCAAACCGAATGCATAAATCTAGGCTACGCACTGCTGGTTTCAGAGCAAAACTGTGCATTTCATTCACTGGCACGCTTCACTCTGCAGCGTTAAAACTGGCAGCACATATTCTTACTTGCTGGCAACTTGCCAAAATAAAAGCTTGCCGATTTTAGGTTTGAAAATGCTGAGAATTCAAATTAGAATTCATATTCAAATTCAGAATTATAAAAATTAGCTTGTATTTTTAAAGTACTATAAAATAAATTAATTTTTATTTAATACTCATTTTTATTTTAAAAAACAAGTATCAAACTTTGATTACTAAAAAAAAGCCTAAGTGCAATAATACTAATATATAGCCTATTTTTTTAGTGCGCGCGCAGTGTGAACACCAAACCAAATCCTCAGCTGCTCTCATGAGAACCATTCTGAAAAACTTATGTGCACCTCTGTGCATAATACTAAAAATAGCGGCACAGTTTGGCCAAAAACATTGTACTGCAAATGTGACACTACTATATGAATTGCAATATGATAAACATTAAATCCCCTGTGAAAACATCCAACTCATAGCTACTTTGTGTGATCATACGTAGTTTTAATTAAAACAAAAATTGAACCTGGTCTGTGTACAAAAAAATAAATAAATTTGAATGTACTTAAAAGTTTAGTTGAGTTTAGTTTACTAATCGGGTGAAATGCAGAAATGCACTGTCCACAAAAGTGGTGTGAATGTGAAAGTGAAGCTAGTGCACGTTAGAAGTAGCCTAAACTCACAGCACATGAGTTTGTGTGGAGCTGCATTTACAGCAACAGAGACACTCACAACAGTATTATGGAGTAAGAGAACAACTTGCTTTACTCTGAAACGGGCTTCAAGCTAAATATTTCGTCTCATAAACTGCATTTTGAAACCTTGAGCACTTGGTTTAAAAAATAAATAAATAAAAAAAACTCAGAAGATGCTTCTCTAAATGAGTCAAAATAAACAACAACACAGTAAATGCCTGGTTGATTTGTTTTAAATGACTAGTCACCCATCGCTTATGATCCCGTCAGTTTCTGCTATTAGGCACGTGCAGAACTTTAATCAGAGCGGAAGCTCGAGCAGTGAAGGCAGCACTGCACACTTCTGTCTAGCACAACAGATGCTAAAACACTCGTGTCCTACAATGCATGAACTAGGATTCAAGTACTGAAAGTACTGAACATGCATAGGTGCAGAGAGCATCAGGAGTACGTACTCGACTGCACCACGGCCTGAGTCTGCTCAGAAGTGCCTGATGCGATGTTGGTCAAGGCCCAGGCCGCCTCAAACTGCAGAGAAGGGCTACGGAACACAGAAAACAAAAGATTGCCATGAGAAAAATATATGTGGAACAAAAAAAAAAAAAAAAACAGTGACACGTAGGGATATGCCTGTATCTAATTTTCATGATGCGATTAATTGCTAATGCTTTTATCACGATGTACGGTATTATCACGATAGTGAAATTGTTGCAAAAAAAGTGTTTGTCATACAGTATAACAGGTTTAATAACTTTTTTCTTATAACAAAAATAACTGAACATTTAAATACAATAAATACTCAAATGTATAAAGTTAAAACATTTTACACAGATTAAAGTGCAAAAGAACTATAAAGACCAATCACTTTACAATAAGATCTCATTAATGCATTAACATTCACAATGGCTACATTTGCTACAGAAGTTATTAATCTTTGTTACAAAATACAAGTCTTTATTCATATTAGCTCATTAAATAACAGTTGCAACTTTCGATTTTAACAGCGTGTTATCAAATATTGGAATGAGATTAATGAATGTTCAGAAGAGTTTTTTCATTGGCAGTTTATGTTAACTAAACTAATGTTAACTAATGAAGCCCTAATGTAAAGTGTGACCGAACAATAAAGAATCAAAACACTTTCAAACAATATCCAGGGCATGTTGTAGTCCAGATTAAAATGTGAAAGGGTTTTAAAATAAATAGCCCATTAAGTCTAAATATTTGGCGCTGTGATGAACAACATGGCGAATACACATCTGCATTCAAAATAATTTTGTAATAAATAACTATTCTCTGTATTTTGAAGTGCCCACGATAACAATATCGTGCATATTCATTATCATGATATAAGGCATTAACGAATACCGGCACATGTCTAGTCACACGACACGGGTCTTACTTGTCGTCTCTATCCAGACAGTGCACCAGGATGGGCAGAATCCCAGACTTGATCAGGTCGTCTATGGGAGGGTTGCGGTCACTCGACAGCAGCTTCCTGCAAGATGAGGTCAACAATACTCAATAGGATGCGTCACACAGCAATAAGTCCCATACTATACAGAAACACACGAGCAGTCAGAGGAAACTCTTAGAAAACATCATGATGAATGAGCCGTTACTCACCTGGCGGCCTGAACGGCGCTGAGCTGAATGCCCTGGTTATCACTGGTCGCATTCTACAAACATTTACACCTCATTATATACACAAACACTCATGTTCTGTACAAGCCATTTCATCAAGACAGACGAAAACTACTAGGGTGAATCTCATGAGACATCCATGTCAATGAGTCTTAGGCATTTACAGGGTTCTGGCACCTTTTCCAAAGTCAAGCTTCTCCATCACTTTACAACTGTAATTGTTAAATCTAGTAATTTACAACAGCTTCGAACGCGACTCAGCCAATCAGAATCAAGCACCAGAACTCGGTTTTATAATACAGGATTACACACATATTTGTGTTCTTTACTTTATATCAGAAGTTATTTAGCTATTAAAAACCAGATTGCATTTCACATTAACATTTTCAAGCCAACGCCCACTGAAGCAGCAAACCTCACGGCATGTTTTATCTCCCACTCGCTTTCATCAGAGAGCACAGGTCAATACAGACATAATATTGATAACACTACAGCCTCGAGCAGAGTTGTTTGCATTTTATGCAAAAGGTGCAAATGTGACTAGGTTTATTTTATCTAAAAAGTGAACCATTCAAGAAAGAACGCGAATTATTCTGAAACCAATGCAACTGCAATTTCAAGCACTTTCTTCAAAATCCAAGCACTTTTCGAGCCTTGGGAAAAAAAGAAAAAAAAAAAAAAAAAAAAAAAAATAAAAAAAAAAAATAAAAAATAAAAAATCGCCCTGCATCGCGATTTTACCTTTTTTTGTAAAGGGCGTTTGATTTTCTTTGCATGTTAACTTTGTAAACACTGGGTCGGTACTTCTGCAGCGATGTAGGATGATTTTGAAGTTGGAGGAGAAAATGAGATGGGAGTTTTTAGACCTACCCTAGCTGTCTTGAACCAGAATACACAGTTCACGCAGAGCTAGACAAGACGAGCGTTTGAGGTTAAAAAGTACATAAATTGTAAATTTTTTTAAAGAAATAACCAATTGTTTCGCTAGATAAGATCCTTCTTCCTTGGCTGGGATCGTTCAGAGCCCTTTGAAGATGCAGTTCAAACTCAGGGGCACCATAGAAGTCCATAATATGGAGAGAAATCCTGAGATGCTTTCCTCAAAAAACAATCTTTACGACTGAAGACAGACATGAACATCTTGGATGACAAGGGTGACATCTTGGTACATTATCTGTGCTTTTCTGTTCTGGAAGTGAACTATTCTAACTGTTATTGTCTTTGATCTGAGCCCCTTCAGCACTGGTGAGAGAATTTAGTGCTTGTCGCTTAATAACGAGGACCGTGCTGAACATATAAAGATGCTGCAGATTGAAGATGCGATGCTGAACGGTGAGTTTCATTTGTGTCAATTAGCAGAATAGAGACGCTCATCTCCGGTGGACCACAGCAGCAGTGCTGGGGTATCTGGCTAGCAGGAGCTATGGACTTCCATAACATGCTTGGATACCGCACTCTGTGAACAGCCAGCTTCTTTGGCAATGAATGTTTGTGGCTCCTTGTGAAGGGTGTCAATGATTGTCTTGTGGACAACTGTCAGATCAGCAGTCTTCCCCGTGATTGTGTAGCCTAGTGAACCAAACTGAGAGGCCATTTTGAAGGCTCAGGAAACCTTTGCAGGTGTTTTGAGTTGATTAGCTGATTGGCATGTCACCATATTCTAATTTGTTGAGGTAGTGAATTGGTGGGTTTTTGTTAAATGTGAGCCAAAATCATCACAATTAAAAGAACCAAAGACTTAAACTACTTCAGTCTGTGTGCATTGAATTTATTTAATACACGAGTTTCACAATTTGAGTTGAATTACTGAAATAAATTAACTTTTCCACGACATTCTAATTTATTGAGATGCACCTGTATATATTTGTGATTAAGCTATAGCATGTATTTATACTGAATATTTTTAGACTAATGTTTTTCATACAGGCTACCTAAAAACAATAGTTATATTTTTACCATGGTATTGAGGTGCTATATGTGTGGTTTTAACAGTGTTTATCATGATTTAAATGTATGCTACTATGGGAGACCAAAGCTTAATTTAAAAATAAAAATAAAAACTTGGGTCAGAATAAATGTAACCATATAAAATGGAGATTGCAACAATTTTTACAGACGTTACTGATTTTGATAATGAACAAATTTACCTCCGCATCCTAACTCAAGCTACTATCAAATGTGCATTTCTATGAGACAAAAAAGTGATATTATTATTATTATTATTAATAATATTATCAGGCAACCCAATCCTGTTTCTTTATTTGAAACAATATCACTCATTAGAACATGCGGAAACTAAGAAATAAATTGTTCTATTCAGATATTTATTTTGTCAAATCATTATAATGAGCCCAAATTAATGGTCTGGTTTCTACAACTTTTATTTTGGAGCAAAAATCTGGCTTTAACCTGGAAATAAATAAAGATTTTACATTTATTGTGATGATTATCGATATCGACTGACATGAAAAAAAATTATCGTGATCATTTTTTTGGGCCATATCGCCCAGCCCTAATCTGAAATGCCTCTCAAACCACCTCCTGAAGTGGTCTGAGAGATCAGACTGCAATCAATCTCGAACGCAAAGTCATTATCACCTAGTCTTTTCACGTTGGACAGCTATCCAATCAAAGAAAACACAGTGGCCATGTGTAAACAGGCCCTTAGATCCAATCCTGCTCCTGAAGGGCCAATTACACACAGAGCTAATCAAGGTCTTCAGAAGAGCACAGCTCAAGACAAAACTGTGCTCACATACAAGTTCAGTTGGTTTCTCTTCAGCGGAGCTGCTTGATTGAGTGGATTAAAGCTCACACTTTGTTCTGCTGTATTTGTTGCTTTTAGTTTTCAGTATAAAGAAGATGCTGCTGTTAATGTTTGAGATTGTCAGCTGGATGTACAGAGCCTTTAACATTTCACACACATCACAAAGATCATTACAACTCAAAACATATTCAATAAACTGGGGATTTTGAGAGGTATAATAATAAAAAAAAATGATATTTTTATTTAAACATCTTACCTGCACTATTGCTTCAAGAGAAGTGTTTTGCTGTTGTAAAAAAAGAGAAAATAATTACCATAATAACTGAAAACTCAACTCACTTCATGAACATTAGATGAAATAATCAGATTAATAAGAACAGTTCTTACGCTTCTGAAATCTCCATCCGCGTCAGAATCGTCACAGATATCCTCATGTGGCACATTCCTCCGCTTCAGCAGGTGCTCGTCTCTCTTATTCTACAGGAACGCAGCAGGTATTCTCAAGTGTTTTAGTACAAAAACAGCTCATTCTGAAGCAGTGTGAACAGATCTTACCTTTCTGAGCTCAACCACCACTTCCGTCCGCTGTCTTCTCATCGTCTGTACGGGAGAAACCAGAACGATCATTAATGCTAATCACTCACACACACACAGATTAAACAATCAGCTCTCACAAATCTGAATGTACGCCTAAAGGCGACCCTCTCAACATACACAGAGACATTAAGAAATTAAAGACCATTTCACTTGATAAAGTGTTTCCAGCCGTTCCTGCACTTATTTCTTATCGTTTCACTCAATATCTTCCCTTAAAATTAAGATGCAGAATGTTATGCATGAATTATTTGTGTCCCTGCAGCACAAAAGCAGTGTTAAGTCGCTGGGGGATATTTGTAGCAATAGCCAACAATACATTGTATGGGTCACAATTATACATTTCTCTTTTATGCCAAAAATCATTAGGATATTAAGTAAAGATCATGTTCCATGAAGATATTTTGTACATTTCCTACCGTAAATATATCAAAACTTAATGTTTGATTAGTAATATGCATTGCTAAGAACTTCATTTGAACAACTTTAAAGATGATTTTCTCAATATTTAGATTTTTTTGCACCCTCAGATTCCAGATTTTCAGATAGTTGTATCTCAGCCAAATATTGTCCGATCCTAACAAACCATACATCAATGGAAAGATCATTTATCCCTTATGACTGGTGTTGTGCTCCAGGGTCACATATAATAGTTAAATCGAGCTGCACGCGTTCTGGTGAACACCTGGATAATACAAGCCTATTAAAATCCACACAATTTAGGATCATTCTGCTTAACCTGAATCCATCAGAAACTCGCTCAATGCTCTTAATTGTCGACTTGCATACACGTGTAGACGAGAGTCGCAGTGTGCTGTTGTGTGTGAATGCGACGCAGCTGAAGTGATCTCGCTGCAAACACAGGAGACAACCACAGCGACCTCAGAAACGACACGGACTCCTCATAAAGCGCCTGCAGGAGCCAGATTAGCAGAAGCGCGTCTGGGGGATGTTGTCGTACCGCAGGCCAGCTCTGAGCTCATGCTAACACTCACACGACGGCCACTGCGAGGACTCAGACACGATAACCACACAAACCGAGTCCAGAATCACGAATCACGAGCGACCCGAGCGTTTCCCGGCGCTCACTCGAATAACTGCTAGCGAAAACACACTTTAATGAAGAGCTGCGACGTGCGCTAGCTCGATGCTAACGGCTCACACGGCTAGCTAGCCGCGCGGCTAACACCTTCCCATCACACATCTGACCGATTTATCAGATCTAGTCTCGTTTACACGCGTATATCGGGCAGCTGTCTCGGGTAGCGTGGCAGGAGCGCTCGAGGGTGTATAATCGCAGGGTTATCTGAGAAGTGGCTGTAAATCTGCTCGACGTCACAGCGGCTTTACCTCCAGATCGCGCCCTTTATTCTTGAAGTTCTTCAGCCGCTGCTTGTCCAGTTTCTCGCTGTCGCTCATGTTCGCACTCATGTCTCTGTGTTGGTATTATAAGTAGTTTAGATGCGCTTGTAGCTCTCCGCAGCTGAATGTGTTCGCTCGGCTCTTGTAGATAGCGGAATGTGTTATGCTAATGAGGCGCGGTGCATGCTGGGATTGCCGGTGGAGCGGCGCCGCCTCGCAGGGGCTGGAACGTTACCACACATTAGATCAGATTTGGCTCGAGAAAGGCAACTTGCTGAAGTGCTATTTAAACTTATTTGTTATTATTATTATTTTATATTATTATTAGTAGTAGTAGTATTACTGGACTAATTGTATTATCTCTAACTCCTAGTCAGATATTCCTGAAATATATGTTTTTATGTTTCTGAAATGATCACCACATACAGGAGGGATTTAACTTTAGCTCATTATAAATGTCTCCGTATTAACAGAAAAGCCTTCAAACAGAACTAGCACAGACTTCTCTGTAAAATATTACCATTTCTGTAACATGCAATTAGTTTTGAATGAAGAAATGACTGATGACACCCTGTTAACTAACCCACATTTAAGTCTTAAATTTCATTCATGTTCAGATTCAGAAATCAGTGCAAAGTTTGACTGTAGAAATGTAGCACTGTATCAGTGTCTCAGCAATGGATGCTCTGCAGTGAATGGGTGCCGTCAGAATGAGAGTCCAAACAGCTGATAAAAACATCACAATAATCCACAGCACTCCAGTCCATCAGTGAACATCTGGAGAAGACAAAAGCTGAAACAAAAAATATTACATATGTAATAACCACTGAAATTTAACCAAACCGGACACATAAAAAACAACAACAAAAAACATCAGAGTGAGGAATAATGTTAATGAATTTGAACAGTTTTCAATAGATTCTTCAAAAGTTCTATTTTTATGTTCCATAGGGGAACTATTCCTTTAATATGGAGGTAATTGCTTAGATTTGTAATATTCAATTTAAATACAAATACTTGCTTCTCCAAAAACAATCTAATGTTAAACTTATGCATAATGTTATTCATTCATCCAGCCACTCATTCACTCAAACATGTTTTCGTTCCCTTATTACATTATTAGAGCGGAGTCTTCTTCACTCCCCGGCGGCCTTGGAGCCTCTCTTCTTGAGCTTGACCACCATCACGGTGATGTTGTCTGGACAGCCGCGGGAAAACGCCTGAAGGACGATGCTCTTCGCACCGAAGTGCGGTTCATCCAGACGCTCTTTAATGAAATGCACGGCTTCCTCGTTGCTGAAGGCGTCCCAGAGTCCATCTGACGCTAGAATCATGAACTGAGGCTGTAGTTTGTCCAGGTCAAAGGTCAGCACGTCGGGGTCAGGGATCAGCACGTTCAGCTTCTTCAGCGGGTAGTCGCCGAGTGAACGTGACATGGCAAGAACGCCCTGCACACGCCATGAGCCGCTGAAACTGATGAAGCCACCTAGAGCAGAGAAACTAATTACTGTGGGATCTCAGCAGGCCAATTAGGTGTAACATTGGTTTTGCTTTGTTTCACAGAACTAATCGTTGCCTGGGTTGCGTACGTACATGTGGGGCGGAGCTATCAGAATAGGGGCAAGACCCTTTTGGGGTAGGGGCGTGTTTGTTTTGGTGATTTCAAATATCAACATTGGCTACCAGAAATCACTTACCCTGCCTTTAATGCTTTGATAACTAGCAGAAGACACTAAACTCCAGTTGCGCAGATGGGTTGTAACCAAGCGGCAACCTCCCGCTCTCTCTCGTGAAGCCAACACGGAAGTGTCTTAAACTGTAATTCATCGACTGGCCGCTAGAGGCTGGCTGCTAAAGGGAGTCAGTCCCATAGACTCCTCATGTTAAAATACCCAACTTTACAGCAGAAAAAAACATGTTTACAGCCTGGTTCAAAAAGTGATTTTGGTCTATATAGCTAATTTTGCCCTTCATGACAACTGTGAGAGGGTGAATTTTTTTATAACTCATCCGTTTAAATGATATTAAGGCTTAAAGTTCTGCATAATTAAGGGCGTGGCCACTTGAGTGAAAGGTGCATTGCCGCCGCTGTCACCACCGTTGAGCTAGGTGGGCGTGGCTTCAGCAACCTGCTCCCGCCTCTTTGCCCAGTTTCGATTATCCGGGAGTGACACGCGGTGGGCTATTGGCCAAGATGGCGACGGCCGGCTCCGCCCACTTTTGAGCTTCAAAAACGCTCTCCAGAAATCTACGGGTGACGTCACGGACACTACGTCCATGTTTTTATACAGTCTATGGCTGTAACACTGCCTTAAAATGTGCTATTCTATGACATTAGCGATGTAATTCACACTATTTACACTTTAATGAATTTTAATGAAAAAACGACGACAAACAGGTGAATAAAGACTGACAGTCAATATTTAATGTTCAGAAATTATTATTTCAAGACATGTATTTTGGCTCGTTTATGTGGACCGTCCCAAGCCTGGTTGCAATGTGTTCATTGTCAAACTCCAAAATCAGATTATTTTTACTTCTTAAAAACGCCATTATTTTATTTGAAAAAAATAATTATTTTATTTTATTGACAAAATATTTTAGTTTGCATTATATATGTTGTTCATGAGGTCAGACAACGTTTTAAGCTGTCATACAGTCATGTTACAACATGCCCCTCAGATGTTACAATGAATGTACCCCACCTACGGGGCATGTTGTCACATTTCACTTCCATTTTTTGGAAGTCAGTTCCATTTTCAAAAACACAAGCCAAACTAATGTAGAGTTCAACCATTTCTGAACACAAGCGAAAAGTCAGTAGCTCATACAATAAGAATAAATACACAAATCATAAGCAATAGCACAAATGCATTAGATCAGCTGCTCACCTGCTTTCTTGATTCTCTTCCGCTCTTTAAGATGGTAGGGTTTGTGGTCATGTGACAGCGGGACAGCATTACCGTCTTTATCACACAGAACCGCCCTCGAATCGCCAACATTAGCCACAGTCAGCTCCTTCTCAGACAGCAGAGCCACCAGACACGTGGTGCCTGACCGAGACACAAGAGCACAGGAGCACAGGAGCTGACCTTATCAATTACAGTGCTTGCAGAAAAGAGCGAAACACCTCATGAAAGAGAACACACTCATCACTAACAGCTCTGTGGCAGCATTGTAATACATCTGTGAAGAAGATTTCCCACTGAGGCAGTGCAGCTAACTGTGATTATTGGATATTATGTTGTATATACTGCCAACTACTCACAGTCAGAGCTGGGCATCTGATCTGATCTGGATTACGTAATCAGATTCCAAAAATTTAGTACTCGTAATTAGATTCAATTACATTTTAAAATACTCGTAATCAGACTACAGTTACTTTTTTATGAGTTACACGATTACATATTATTTACACAATAGCTATATATTTATTGATTCTCTCTAATTCCTCTTTTTCATCTTTTAATGTTCCTTTCTAAAATAGTCCACTGTTTATATACACTCAGAAATTCTTCCAGTTTTGTGGACGTTCACACAGAGATCAGTTATTAGTCATGTGCTACACTGCATTTACAAAAATCATTTCAGGTTTAAGAAGTGTTTGAACATTGCATCGACTAGTGATGAACACATTCATTTTTATTTGTTATTTAACCATGTATTTCGATGTCTTTAGAAGGCTTTTGTCTTTCAAACACATTAAAATGCACATATTCATGAATTCAAAATTCACATTCAGACTTTTTTAATCATCTGATCATCTTTCACCTAATATATTTTCTTGAAGTAACCCTGAGATTTATTAATAATCATCACATTTGCATGTTCATGGTTCTCTATTTAATGTGTGTTTATTTTGATTGATTTTATAATGACTTATTTTAATTTAACATTTTTATGATTTAATTAACTATTAGCTTTTCATTAAACTCATAAACCCTCTGCAGTTGCTTCACAAACCCCAGTTTGGGAAACCTTGACATAATATAATGATTAATGCACTTAATGTTGTTAATAACAATGCAAGAATATATTTTTTTAACCTATGTATTTTTATATCAATATGGTACAAGATTATCCTATTTAAATTAATGCAATAAACGAGATAGGTCAAAAGTACTCTGATTATATTATCTAAAATGTGTAATTACGGTACTAACTACAATATTTGTCATGTGATTTGGAATCAGTAACGGATTACAATTTGTAAGTAATCTACCCAGCTCTGCTTAAGAGTACACAGCTCTGTGTGAAGCAGTGCTGTTCACCGTATGTACATCAGTGTCTCAGCAATGGATGCTCTGCAGTGAATGGGTGCCGTCAGAACGAGAGTCCAAACAGCTGATAAAAACACATTGTGAAGCCAAAAGCTGAGTGTTTGTAAGACACAAATCCATCATTAATTTATTTTCCATAAAGTCCATAATCCATAATAACTCTTCCTCCAGTAAAAAGTGCATCTGCTGTTGTCTCTCACATCAAAATCCAGCCACATATTAGTTTAGAGCTGTTTAAACGCTGCTTGATCTGTGCAGATTTCTCTCCTGATTCACACCAGAACACTTTTTCACTGGAGGAAGCGTTATTATGGATTATGGACTCTATGTATTTGAGTTAAAAATGTCTTAATGCTGGATGTGTTTCAGCTTTTGTCTTCTCCAGATGTTAACTGATGGACTGGAGTGCTGTGGATTATTGTGATGTTTTTATCAGCTGTTTGGACTCTCATTCTGACGGCACCCATTCAC